CTTGCTTTTCCCTTCAGCTATGATTCCTGGTTGAAATTTGAGCTGCTCAGAGTGTAGACTAGTCGAGCAGCAGTTGTATGTGTTCGCCTAGGTATCGATACTGATCGCTAGAGAAACAAAAGTCAGAGGAGGAGAGCGGATGCTTCAACCAGAGGGATCGTTATCGCGTTAATAGTGTTACGATTCTGAAGCCGCTGTGGTGTTGTTGGCGCTGGATGTGGCGCTGGTGTTATGTGTTTCGTTTTTCTCGACACCAAGAGGGGCGTGCCCCTTCTCCAGCGTGTAGCTCATATGACATGTATGCCTCGGCTTTCACGCTGGCGCCGCTGAACGACGACCGCAACCACTGCTCACCCCCGTGTTGACTCTCGGGGCTGTGAAACTGCTTAGATGCAATTGTAACCATATTCCGAGACCTCTTCGACTGTTTAACCCCAAATGCTCCGCGGGTGGTGGTTGTGGTGGTGATAGATGGGAAGCGCGTCCTCTTGCGTGTGGGCACTCCGATTTCTCTCCCTCTGTGGATTGTGAGTGGCGCTGTGCTCGCGACGACTACTTAAGGCTGTTTTGCCATCGCAGCCCATTATGGAAATGCATACTATTATCCGCGCTTTGTGGTGGTTCATCAATTTGCTGCCAGCCACTCTCGTGCGCCCGGAATGTCCTCGGCGTTGATTCTCTTCCAGTGATTTATAGACCGTGCTTTGTTATCTTAGTGACTTTTAAATGATTTGCTTGAATATTCATATTCAAAGGCTGCTGTTCATTCCACGAACATCTCTTCTCTTATTCACTGCTTTCGGTTTTTCGTCATCACTACGAAATGAGAAACAGCAGCCTGCCAATCAAACCCGATTTCATAGCTACTTTCGTGTCGGGCTGCTTTCTCGTTTCCATGTTCCCGTTTGAAGCGTTCAATTTTAATAGATTATTATTATATGTATTGATTTATCAGTTAGAATTAGACAAATAAAATAATGATAGGTTAACAACCTATGGAATAATGAGCTATTTGTTATTGAGACAGTTATAGAAGTCTTGTGATTAAA